TACCGAGTAAAACGGATGTGCTCTTAAGATGGTTTTAAGCAAGTGTAGTTGGTAGGGGGGGGCGCCTACTACTACTACTACTACTACTACTACTACTACTACTACTACTACTACTACGGCTACAACAACAACAACAACAACAACTACTACTACTAACACAACTACTTCAACAACGCAAACTACAACAACTACTACTGCAACTACTACATCTACTTAACTCAACTACTGCTGCTATTTCTCCTCCTGCAGCTGCCGTTGCTGCTGCTGCTGCTGCTTCTGCTGCTGCTTGCTGCAAGAGCAGTATTACACTCGGGTCATGAGTCTGGTTCTTGTTGCTTCTTTGTTGGTTCTTGCAGTTGCGAAGAAGTCCGGCACTTTCGGTCACCATGAAACTGGTTCTGACCGGCCAGAGCATAGCCTTAGGCCGGGGAACTGCTGGCTGAAACGTCCATGACTTTGCAATACACACTCTCACAGCCGCAGCTGCTTCACCAGCACTGCTGCAGCACCCCAGCTGTCAGACGGTCTTGTCCCAGCTGCAATTGAGCTGGGTTTGACCACGTCCGCAAGCTTTGAGGCCAGGTACATGCAGCCTTTAGAGTTGACAAACCCGAAGCATTCGGTCAAGTGGAATCTGTACTCAGTCCTTATCTTTCAGGCTCTTACCATTTGATGGATAATTAAAAACCCGAGAGTGTTTCTTAAAGTAGATGCGTCCGTACTGTGAGAGCAAACGAATTCCTTGTAAAGCGATAACAGTAAGAAAGAACGACACATTAGCTCAGATCATAAAGTCCTAACGTCCTGTAAAAACGATAAGAGTAACATAACACGATAACCATGTTAAGGGTCAAGCAAATGGGTGCGGGGTTTTCACGCACCCTCATTTCGTGCTGGGATCATAGCTGTCCGTGTATCTTATGCAGTGTGGTTGGCAAGCTGAAGGCAGGTTAACAAGTAACAAGTTTTTGTAGTACCAGGACAAACGGCCCCTGAGCCCATTGCGACTGAAAGGTGGCTTTTTCTTCGCCCGTAGCTATAGCTTTGAATCCCTCGCATGCTAAGCAGTGTCATGCGCAGAGCGGAAGAAGTACGGGATCTGCTTTCTCGCCGAAGCACTTCTGGTGCATGCCCGTTTGCAGGTTTTGTGTTCTGTGGAGTCTCGCATTGGCTGCAGGTCTGGATGCTAGGGTGCAAGCTCTGAAGCTGGCTCTCAGCGGATATCTTGCAGTGACACCAACATCAGTGCCCCGGGTTTCAAGGTGTAGACTCCTCCGGCTTGCAGCTTGAACTGTATTTTGCCATTGCGCTGGCCTAACCCACTAGTTGTAACCAAAGAGGGTGAGCTTATTGCTCAGCCCCCTTGCCCACAGCACATGGGCTACTCTCACAAAAATCGAGTAGGTGAAGGTCAAGAAAGAATCTCCCCATCGGCAGCGATGTCGCAGCAGCTGCTCGGATCCCCAGACGCTGCATCATCACTTCATGCGCCTCACGCTCGAGTTGACGGTATAATCAGGGCACCAGGAATACAGTGTGTTACATGCTGGAATTTTCGCATAAACACCACATCCTTGCTTCGGACAAGGCGCATTTGCAAGCGCAGACTTCAGATTCAGAGCTCTCGCAGGATGACTAACCCCGAGTCTCTCGACCAAGGATCTCCTTGCTAAAAGATATTGGGCCGGCAGCTTACCACAGTCTTATGGGGCATGACAGTCTGCTTTACACTGAGACTGCAATGTTGAGAAAAGCCAGGTGTACTGGCCTTTAGACCTAGAAAAACGATGCCACGACCACCCCACGGCCCACTTCCGACTCGAGGCGGGTGAAGATTGACCTCAATGCTCTTGCAACCAGCGAGGATGGTCGGCGACCTTGAGGGAGATATGCACTGCCTCTGTCTTCTGTTCCGGGAAACTTCGGGGGATTGCTGTTTTTGAGCTCAAAGATTCGAGACGGATCACCAAAAGACGAACCATGTGTGCAAACAGCCAATGTCCTGGCACTCTCAGGTGATTCGGAGACCAAGCGATCGGAGCTCCAGGCAAATCTGTGGCAAATTGTGGCGTTCAGTGTTTCGTAAGGGGCAGTTTTCTTGAGAACATAGATTTAGAATATTTACCAATAGCGCAGACGCTCGGGCTGTGAAATCACTTAGGACTGCGACCCGCACCAGGTTCATCCAGGTTCCATGACGACGTAGGTGCACAGCAACAGCTATCCGCAAACAAACGTGTTCGGAACGAGATTGTCTACGGTCTCAGATGGGACAGGGCACGCGGGGCCTCCATCGAATTGTGAAGTGTATGTTTGCGATTGTCAAACTCAGAGCGAGACCTTTCGCATTCATCCAGGATCATTCAGGCTGAACACTATCACATTCGTCTGCAATTGCATCCTATCGCACAGGCCACGCAGCAGTCATAGCTCCTGCGCGCCCCTGTTCCAGAGAGAGAGAGGGAGCAGGGGGAGGGTGACTGAACTCCGAAGCTCAAAACCCCAGCCGTTCCACAGGCGGGGAGGGGGGATGACCAAATGGGGATACCTTGTTGGGGGGAAGGGGGAGGGGGAAGGCGGGGCTGGGGGTCGCGTCGGGGCGCAACTCTCTCTCTCTCTCTCTTTCTCTCTTTCTCTCTTTCTCTCTTTGTCTCTTTCTCTCTTTCTCTCTTTCTCTCTTTCTCTCTTTCTCACTTTCTCTCTTTCTCTCTTTCTCTCTTTCTCTCTTTCTCTCTTTCTCTCTCTCTCTATCTATACATATACACACATACACATACACATGTGTATATGTACATACATGTTTATGTATACATATAAGCGCATGCACATGCGCGTCGCACACACCAGCGTTGTTTTGTGGCAGTCGCCTGCCGAAGCAGGCTCAGCTGGACAAGCTCATGACGGAGCACGCGCAGCTCATGAAGGCTCTTCTTGTGACAAAGGCGGTCGTGTTTGAACCTCAAAGTAAGCTCCCCAGCATAACCTTGTGCTGTTCGTGGTGATGCGCGGCGTATTGTGACTGCCTGGAGGGCTGACGGCATGTGAAGAGCATCAGGGGCGCAGGTGTCTGGTTCCACTGGTAGTTACCTGGTAGTTTAGTTCTCGTCTAAGAACCAAGGAGTTTGCACAGCCTTGTGCGCAGGGTCGCACATGCTGCTGCAAGACTGCAAGATACTTTCCTTGTTGCACCTTGTAGACCGCCTTGGTATCGGCACTGTATGGGAGATCCTCAACAACTTCTCTCCAGATATCTCTGCCCGGCTGCTGGGTCACAAGAGCAAGCCCAGTGCAGCCAGGGTGGCGAAAATGATGCCCAGCAGACGCCAGAGAATGGCGAAGGTCGAATGGGACACGAAAGACTCTAGACAGCGATCGGTCGGCAGGTGATTTGAAGGAATCTCTAGGTGGGATCCCAATAAATAGGCCTTGCCAGCAAAGGCAACGGTGCTAAACTTGGCCGACAAGCCTTGTACATGCCTGGCAGGCCTTAGTCGCTGTAGTTGTTGCTGAGACTGTCCGGGCATCGCTAAGACCAATAGTAGGGGGCTTTAAAGCGCACCGATGTAAGTCCAGTGTTTTGAGCGTTAGTGAGCGGTACGAAACTTTGACAGTGCGCTCCCTGGTGCTGAGCTCAAGACACCCTGCTACTGAACGACTCTATTTGCCATCTCCTGAAACCATGCTTCATGAATGAACTTTATTTACCGTGCAGCAGTAACCACGGGTTACAATCATGAGCCTTTCAGGTAACTGAACCGGCTTGTTTCGCAACCTTTGAATTCTCTCGAATCGGTCTCCAGCTGGAAGGCGACAAATCAACAGCTCTAAATCGTCGTGGCATAGTGCTGCATCATGCCTTATGGAAGCTGTTCATGTTCAGTTTCGGCACATGCATACCGTTTTGTTAACGCGCTTTGGAGCCACCTGCGAGGCCCTGCGACAGCTAGCTTCGAACAGAAGGAGCCAAACCCTTAGCTTCGGGAGCGGGATGGGTTTCGGTTGTTTGGGCAGGACTGTCATCACCAAATTCCCATCGCAGTGCATCTGCTGCATAAGACATGCCCCTTCGCAGCGTAGGATCCCCCTTCATGTCTTAAACTTAGCTTGCCTTGAGTGTGCTCTTCCGGATTTCTTGGCATCCACATCGTTAAGTATCCTCAACTTATTTATCATTCCTTAGCAGGGTGCTTGAGCCTGTGAAAAGCTAGGTACAGAGCCTAAAGGTGCTAACCATTCGGCTACACACAACTCACGAAACACCACACGACGAACAGCACACGCAGACGCAAACCTGCCACCACCAAGAGGTGAAGCGCCTTACACCCTTGACAGACGAAATGTAGCCTCCTACGTTTCTGATTAATACGATTTCCCGGATGCCGCTAAAACCCTAGACGCCTCCAGTCTCTAGCCGATTCCCTCTGCATTCGGCCGACGGCATGGAACACCCACCGAAATAAGAGATGTAGCCTGTTTTGGGCGTTTCTGGAGGCCTGCAGACTATACAAGACATATACATTGGCGGCTGCATTGCTTGTTCAGGGGTATTTGGAGGCCTGAGAACCCCCAAACAAGAAACGTAGCCCCGTGAGTTTTTGATTATAGACAGTGGCACTCAGAGGCTTGGAACCTTGGTTGGGTTTCACTTCCTAGCTCGGAGGCAAATTTGGTTTTGTTGGTACTTCTTGTGTTATCCAGCTTACGTAGCCCCTGCATTTCTTCCTCAACCGTTTCTACAGTGGTTGTGCTTGCACTGTACTGTTAGCAATGTTAGCAATGCAAACTGTTCCTCCCCGACCCTGCTGCTACTACTAGCAGTCTTGGAACCCTCACTGCTAGTCTTGGGGGTGGGGGTGGGTTGCTGTTGATCATAGCGATCGTCATTCTGATTCGTGTTTTCAATGCTATTGTTAGTGTGTCATGAATATGAGACGAAGGCAACCATCAGCGACACGGGCGACCACAAACTTCGATGTGATGATGGCGATGACTGTTGCGTTTCGTATGGCATGATCATTGCTTTCAGTGCAGCCATAGCCAGTGCTTCTGTTACGGTTTCTCGTCTTTGTTCTTGCAATCCTTCTTGCTGTTGTGGTCAGTGTTGATTTGGCTGCCGTCGTCGCAGTTTTTCCGGCGGTTGTGGTCGCGGTTGTGATTGCTGTTGCTGTTGCTGCTGTTGTTGTCGTCGTTGTTGCTGCTGTTGTTGCTGCTGTTGTCGTCGTTGTTGTTGTTGTTGTGGTGGTGGTGGTTGTTGTTGTGGTTGTGGTTGTTTGCTGCTGCTGGTGGTGCTGGTGCTGATCAGCAAATCCGGGCGACTGTCAGCAATTCGAGTCTGAAAATCGGCAGCTTTCTGTCGCGCAAAGCCCGGCCTCGAGTCACAAGCAGGACAGACCGGTAGTCGAAAACACCGAAGCTCGAATCAGAAAGCCACAGGCTGGACTTGGAAGACATGCAACATAAGCCACGGAGATTGTTTTTTCCTTTGCACCCGAAAGCCCCTTCTGGTCGAGGGTGGTGCCCTCAGTTGGAGGCACTGCCCCACACGCCAGGGCAATACTGATTGAGTTTGCGCAGCCAAAAGGGATCAGCTGAGCGTGCTTTTTCCCTTAGTCCTGCCGTCGGTTCGTGTGTGCGTGTTTGGTTCGGCCACCCCGCACCCCAAGCCCTTTCTCCGAGCCAGTGCACCAAGCTTAGTACCCGTGTGAGGGATCACAGGGGGAAGAGTTTCTGTTCTTGCGACGTGGGCTGTCTTGCCAAGTGCCCAAATCCAACCCAAGCCTCGAAGCTTGGGGGGGCGGGCCCATGGAGGTTCGGGTGGCACGCCCCTCCCCAAACCCCAGGCTCGGATTTCCGGGCCCGGAGCGTTGAACTCTGCACCGGAGCTCCGATGACGCATGCGGAGGGGGGCAAAGAAGGCGAGAGGGACC